TGTTGTGTTACAATTATGTAGCCGTTCATCACAAATTAGAAAAGGCCGGTGTTGATCTGCATCTTATATTAGGTTGGCAAATATGTCCTACGACAAAATAGAGACCTTTTTCAAATCATTTCTAAATTTTTTCATATCAGTCAATTTTAGGAGAAATATTTACCGAAGAAGTCAGCAACCTTCTATTCTTTGAGCCAATCACTGATGCCATCTTTCAGGATTGAGGGAGCTGTGACTCATAGAAGTAATTTACAGCCACTTTTGGATCACATTAGGTTACGAATTCCTTTTTTACAACGGGATGCTCAAAAAGGCGGAGCACATGGTAGTTAAAAGGGGGAACACTCCGAAAGTACGACTAATGAGTAACCTGGAACCAAGCGGGATCGGTGAACTTTTGACGTGGGTCTAAAGCGAATTTTTAACGTCCGTTGTCCCTCTGTAGGGACCAGATTTACAGTTTGTTCAACCTTATCTAACCCCGTTGGCCAAATACAGGAGATCATAGGGGCAAGCCATAGCTGTGTCCATCTAGTCTGCGCTTAGCAATTCATAGGTGATGGATTCCTTCCACCTTTAATTAAAGGACGATGCTTGCGTTACTCCGAAGGCTAGTATCTCTTGCAGTGAAGCGATCCAACCGATTGTTGACCGTGGATTGGTGGGGAGCAGTGCTAGCATCGAATAGATTGCTGTTATATCGAGCCGCCACATCCGCGTTTTTTCCCTGGCGTGCTTGGTAGAAGGTGATGATACGAATTGGGTGTTGTCCATTCATTGACCGTAATGCTGCGAAAGCCCACACGCGTGCCCTCATTCACTCGTGTGTTGATTGCCCGGGATATGTCCTACAAGCTTATCACCCTTGTACCCTGCGCTGTTGGTACGAATTTTCAACGTTCCACGCTTCAAATTTTTGTCGCAGGACTTACTTGCCAACCTAATATTTGTCGAGAGTTACGTTAATCCTTCACATCCAGCAACGCTATAAGATCGGCTCAGGGAAGGGTACTAGGTCGCAGTGGCCATTCAACATGGGATGCATACCGACGTAAGGGCTTTCGAACGCCGATCTCATAGCTGGGTTCCAAATCTGTGAAACGATTCTAGAAACGAAGTTACGAGACCAGTCTCTCCAGGTGTCATCTCAAGCAGTGCTTAAACGTGCAGCGATGGCGCAGTTGAGAGTACGACGGACTGGTAGACGCGACACGGAGGTTCGAATGCTAGATGCATACGCTTGTTTTGCTTTTTTACGAAAGGTGTCTTAAACGCTTGCAAAACTATTACACATCATATACATAGATTAGCTAAGCCCTCCTTCACATTCATGGAGCACCAGAAATGCTTTCATCGGCTCCACAGATCTCCTACTGGTCGTCGACTCACAGAACTCGTTCAAGGATCATGAAGCGATTTGGGGTACTTTGATGCATATTTGGTCCTACTGCTTAAGGCCATGTATAAGCGCACTGTCTCTTTCGTGATTGTACATGATCTGAACTTCCGTATGAGCAACCGCAACTCGATAATTCGCCTTATCTCACTATTGTACTTGTTTAGCCCGCCTAGATTCAAAAAGTTTATTTCATACTCATAGTTTCCATCAGGGTACCTGGAGAACTTGAAACTTCTGGAGTGTATTGTTTTCCATCTTAACTAGACGAGAACTGTGAGAGTTACGGGTGTGGTGAACTTTCTTTCATGCGTTACTCATATTATGAGAAGCTTTTGAGCTGCAAACACTTTGTGTTGGATTATCATATCTGTTCATAGAATGCTCACCTATTGTTTCGATAATAATTTTGCATAAAATTGACAGCTGAATTCTACCAGAGGTGCATAGAGGGGCATTATTTCATTCAAAACCGCTATGGCCTGACGAGTCATCTTTTGAAAGTGCACGGAGCTGCTGAAATTCTTGACCACATCGTGAATGCCGGAAGCAGAAGGGTTTTACGTGCACTCGTCCCTATTCGGTCCGTGGACTTAAAATCTGCTTGTATTAGCATTTCTGGTGCTCTTTAAATGTGACTTAGGGCTATTGGTAGTCTATATGATGCGTAAAAGAGTTTTGCAAGCTTTAAGACACTTTTCGTAACAAAAGCAAAACAAGTGCATCCATCTAGGATTTGAACCTCCGTGCCAAGTCTACCAGTCTGTCGCACTTACAACTGCGCCATCACTGCACGTTTGGGCGCTGCTTGGTTCTCGTTTAAAAGCAAAAAACTGACATGACACCTGGGGAGACTGGGCCCGTAACTTTTTTACCACAATCGTTTCGCAGATTTGGGACCCAGATTTAGGATCAGCGTTCAAAACTACATCTTGTACATCTCATCTTGGATGGCCACTGCGACCTGTTATCCTTTCCTTTTAGATCCACTAGACAGTGTAATAAAGTATCTTCGGGACATTTTTGAGAGGCGTTCTTGTCGAATGCTTTACTCCATCATACAATTATTGCTGTATCTAATTTTCTTTCCATTTCATTCAGATGCTGTCGTTGAGGAAACTCATGAATAAGCCGCGACTAGATGACTGGGCTCCTCTTGCGAAGTTTTTTTACGCTGATGAAGCGTTGAATTGTATAGGTTAGTTATTTGTTCGCCTACAGGAACACCTTCCATTCTCTTCCCAATTCGTTCTGACATCTCAAAATTCAAGAGGTGATTCAGAGTTTGGGCAAAGAAACATTTGCCATAGCTAATGTATCAATCAGGGACAATCACGGATGAAGTTTTGGGGCGCTTATCAATCCCGTCTGAGGGATGCGCCCAAGCATTCGACTTCTATTCAGAATCGTTGTGACGTAATGAATGCATGTGGCCTATGCAATGATTTGCTGCGGCCAGCCGATGTACGAGTCAGTTCTTTTATCCTTTTAGACGAGTCTGATACCAATTAACCGACCGTGGAGGGATGGAAGGCTTGGTTGGTCTGGGCGGATATCGATGCGGGATTCGAACCCGTGACAGTGCATGTGAGTTAGTAATAGTGCGCCGCTTGCCACTACACCGCCTCCGCCCAGCTTATGTATTAGTACATGGATATTCAAGTAATGATTTTATGATCCTATCCTCACTTACATTGGAGATCTTCGCATGCTGAGCACTTGTAGGCTCAGCGGAGTTTAGCGGTCGGGGAGCGGAACATGCACCGAAATGGAGGAGGGGAGGGGGGGGNGGGGGGGGCAAGGGCAAAATTTCTATTTCGGTATCATAGTAGTTCAGGCACAGGAACGCAGTAGGCAAAGGAAAGGAGTTGGTCAAGAGCCCAACCGAATGAGAGCTATCTGAGATGGGCGGACCGTTCTCTAGGAAGACACTTGCCACAAAGTGTATGTGGCAAATGACGGTCATCTTGAGAAATACTGGTGAAAACTGCGAAGAGCTGAAAGGAACCGAAGTAAACAAAACTTTGTTCCTGTTTCCTATTTTGTAGAGGAACCTTTCCACTTTTCCTTGTTCCATATAATGAGGCGGAAGGTAGAGTACGTAAGAAAGAAAGAACTCAAGAAGAAAGAATCGCTATGATAAGTGCTGGGTAAAGTCAGATACAATGAGACAGTTCGAAACAGTTCGATGCACTTTATGTTATGGTTACGAATACTACGCATAATGGTTTGCGATTCAATTATGGAACACGTTTTCTTTTTATTTCGATGTAGGTATCGCCAAAAGTTGTCCAACTATCAATGATATTGGTAGCTCTACAAGTGGTTTATATCTGTGGAGAAGAGAATACAGTAGACTAAGACCTTGATCATGGTATTATTATTAATCGACAACATACATGAGTGTTTTTAGGGGTTCGGTTGACTAATCAGGTTGTTCAAATTAGTTAAGTCGCAGTAGACCCAATAATGGGGGAAGGATTGAGTCCTTATCCTTAGTCCTTCTTTTGGCAAAATCAATAGCCACAGGTCGATTTCTAACTGTAGGAGTGATCAAGTATTGCATAAGTTCCGTTACTTTGTGTGTGCCAGCACCTCGCCTGTAGGGTCATTGGCAAATTGGTAGTGGCAGGTTGTCCTTACCACTCTCCGTCACGAATTATTTGATCATAATTGTGGAAATAATTTCAAAAAAAAAAAGAATGGCGTTGCAGCCGAGCAATATAATTTCCACCGTGCAATATGATTTCGTTACAGGGAGGAGAGGAGACCCAATCCAAGTGGTTAATATATACAACGTAACTGTGAAGGACCTTTGGGAATCAGTAGAATTTTCTTTTATGGTGTTCTTGAACGAGGCATTCCTATGGAACTCGTAATTTTCGGTACTGCTCAAAAATCTCGACGTCGATGCAGTTGGCAATTGTGCGCACACGCACTCTTCCATGATCTTTGGCAATTATGCGCATCCGCACTCTTCCATGATCTAAGTTGAGTACCTTGATGACTTAGTAAATTCGTATACCCGTTCTGATCTAAAGGTGACATGACAGGCAGTAATCTGCTTCTTATCTTCTTCTTCTCCCTAGTGTTAATCCCGCGCCGTCGCAGGGTCCGCTGTTTTTGTGCCGTTTCCACCTCTTTCTATCTACGACATCTTCTCCCGATACCTTAGTTTCGGCAAAGTCCTTCTTGATGACGTCCCGCCATATCATCTTCGAGGATCCTCGTGGTCGCTACTCTGCTTACCCTCAGCTTCGAACTCTTTTGCCTCCCGTTCGGATGGTTCTGTGGTCTTCTTAGCACGTGCCCGAACCACCGCAGGCGCTGCTCTCTCATATTCAGCTGGACTGTAGTTGTCTGCGTAGCCGCCCTGACATCATTTCTGATCCGATCCAGCCGCGTGTAACCGCAGGCCCATCTGAGCATTGTCATTCCAGCGGAGTGGAGCTGTCGTTCATGATTTTTACTTACGGGCCAATACTCGCTGCTGTAGAACATCTATCCGATACAGCTTTCCGTTGGGAGTCCTGGAACATCGACGGTCGCAGAGGATATTGGTGGGCTCCCTCCACTTCATCCATGCCGCTTTATTCGCTTTTACGGCCTGTTTCACGCTACCATCAGCGGCTAGGTTACCTCAAGGTATCGGAAGTTCTGAACCTTTTCGATGACTTTCCCGTGACCGTCGAATATTGACTTCGTGCACTCCTCGGAGCGAGGATCTTGGTCTTGTTCACGTTCAGGCGGAGCCCGTTCTCCGCCAGCATTTTTCTCTCCGCCGTTCTCCGCCAGCAGTATGGAGTGCGTACTGTTGCCGTTGTGCCATCGTACATGTCCTTCATCAGAAGGATCAGGTGTTCTGGACCCTCTCGTTTTCGGAGCATCCTCCAGAAGGCTTGTCGCGGGAAACGGTCGAATGCCTTCTCCGGATTGAGGATGGCTTGGTAGCAGGGTCTACGCTTTTCTCGGTACTTCTCCCAGTTTCTTTCCCTCCACTGCTTTAGGTTACCTCCTGGGTCTTGCTTTTCGCGAAAAAGCTAAGTCGTGGGTTATGGCCAGGTTGAGAACCCTCTCTCCTTCTTCGTTTCTGACTCCTGTTCCTCTACCTCCACGTGTTCTTTCCAGTCCCCTCCGTTCACTGCACTCGTGCCCATTCAGGTCACCTCCTATAGTGAGACCAGTCGAGCACCCGGCTAACGCCCAACTTCCCTCCTTTTTACGACAGAGTTGTTGTAGTCGGCAAACCGGCCGCTCCTTATTTGAGACAAAAAGTACTTTTTGTAACACGAAATTTGACAGAGGTCTAGCAGGGCACGGAAATGATATTCGAAATGTACCTATGCTTATGCCTGTGGTTGAAGTTCTCGGTCTGTTGAAGCACATCTCAAAAATAATGACTCCTCGAAATTTTGAGTGGTGGGCAACCAAGGCCTTGAATGGTACTCACAAATACTATGGAGTCATATAGCACCACTGTCACATGTCTTGACTACCAAACAGTGATCCTTCATTGAGCCACAAATTTTGTTGCTTAGCGGTCGCAACCTACCAACAAGATAAGCCTATTTTCATCCGCTTTTAATTTAGTACCCTTACAAGGAAGGTCTTTCAGGGCGTGGGACGCTTTTCGAAAATGGTTTTTTGCATGGTATAGGAGCATGAGCACTGAGTATAGAAGTATGGTCCATTTCCGCTAAATGACCTTCTAAATACAAAAAAAGAGGTGAAAAAAAATTTGTCAAAAATTGCCGTTTTAACCTACTAAGCGTCGCACATCATGGCGTCGACTGTCCGTAGAGTTGAAGGGGCCAGTGGACTGCGCATTGAAAATAACGTGAACAGTAGCCAAAAAAAGGGAGCCACATGTTGAAAAGTGCGGGGAATTTCCATATATGCTCTCCACGGTTGAGCTGCTGGCAGCGATGGATGGTGTGGTGGATAGCGATGAGGACTTCGAGTTGGGACGGCTAGTCTGAGTTCGAATCCTCGGGGCTTTGCCGTTTTTGCATTTTATGCTGCCACCTCCAGATTGGCTTCATATTACACCAGGACCAAAGCAAGCGCCTGACTGGTCATGGTTGTGGCCAGGACCAGCGATAACCTCTACAAGTTGTATTTTAGTGATATTGACTGAGACGGTATCAGTAAAAGTATCCGTGGGACAGCCTTACAAGAGAAAGAGAAATAAAATTTTGTCACTAATTCTCGAATATTCATTCAAGTTTTCTACTGTTGTACAGACGTCTTGTTATACAGTCATGGCACTGTTAATTATGCGATTAAAACTCTTCTTCACATCGCATCTGTGCATTTAATCTGCATTTTTAGCCAAAATAAGGCGATAGATTAATTCGACTGGATGCGGCTTACACTTTTATATTTTCTTTTAAGTATTTGATTGTTGAATTCATTTTATGTGGAGGTAGGAGGTGCTAAAGTGTACTCGTGCGTAACATATTCTCTAATCATATATGTACCTTTGATATCGGAAATCGTTCCCAACCTCAACAGAGTTTCTTCGAAAATGAAATACTTCGATCGGGTGGGAAATTTTGGTCTGTTCTGGTTAAGTAAGCCTAAACCTAGAGGGTCGTCAGAGCAGCAGAAATTCCTTACGGAATAAATCAGTTAGCTGTGTCCATTCTGATGACCATGCTGGCTTTTTTAGAATATCTAGCATGGAGGTATTAATATAGTGTTATAGCTAAATAGCAATAATGATTGATAACAGGAAAAGGAAGGGTTTTGCACATGAATTTTAGGCTTTTTTTGCTATGCGGAGTTCTATATTGATATTCAAAGGAATTGGCTCAAAATTGGTGGACATTGTTACTGGTTATTCCTACGAAGATTCACTCTAGCCCTGATCTCCTTTTCAGCATTGAATGGGTGGGGTCCTTAATCGTTTTAAGGAGTAGGTTAACAGAATTAGTAAAAAGTCCCAGTTTCCCAGAGCCGAGCCGAATGCTTCGGTGGTATTTGCAGAGTTGGGACAATAATATTGATATCAGTATCAGTATCGTTCTTCCTCATTCCTGGTCATTTTACTCGTTGGTAGTAAACCCTTCGCTTCTGATGAATCAACCGCAGGTAAATTCTGACATAACCTTCTTTTTAACTGTTGCTATTTCGCCGCAGTATCTCGTGCTAGGATGGCGAATTATTGGAGGAATTTGGCCTCGAACTTTAATCCAACCTTACTTGTGCCTTTCGTGCACATACTACTTTCCCTTACAGCATCAAGACCCAGCTTGCCGTCGCATTCCAAAACACATTATTTCTACCTTTTTTCGAATATCCTCGAATTATGATGAAGTTTGGGTTAATTGAAATAACTAACCAATGTCGATAAAGACAAATCAGTCAATACAGTGAAATTCAACTTGTAGAGGTTATCGCTGGTCGTAGCCACAACCATACCAGTCAGGCCCTTGCTTTGTCCCTGAGGTGGTGTGGAGCCAATCTAGAGGTGGCAGCATAAAATACAAAAACCTCAAAGCCCCTGGGATTCGAACCATCAACCCAGCCTAGCAGTCCCAACTCGAAGTCCTCCTCGCTATCCACCGAACCATCCCACGCTGCTAGTGAGGAAACCTTGGAGAGCACATATGAAATTTCCCCGTACTTTCCAACATGTTTCAACACGCGGGTCCCTTTTTTGGCTACCGTTCACGTTATTTTCAATGCGCAGTCCACTGGCCGCTTCAGCTCTACGGACAGTCGACGCCATGAATGAAACAAACGACGCTTAGTGGGTTAAAACGGCAATTTTGGACAGAATTTTTTTCACCCCTTTTTGGGCATTCAGAAAGCCATTTAGCGGAAATGGACCATAGTTTTATACTCAGTGCTCATGCCCCTATACCATGCAAAAAACCATTTTCGAAAAGCGTCCCACGCCCTGAAAGACCTTCCTTGTTAGTCGGTCCCTAAAACTGTGTCACCCTTCCTGTCGAATGAAGCATATCAAAGAATCAAAGTTAGGTTGTAAATAACAAAGGCGTTAGGATTTAATCGGTGAGTGATTCTTGCTCTGAGGCTTCTTCTATCTCCCATCCTGCCCCCTCTATTCCTACCAATTTTGAACTTTTCAAATTCACGGGGTTCCGCTCAAACATTCATTTCGCGCAAACCGCGCTTCTATTGGCGGAGTCCGGTTCTCCCATCTACAACAGGTGTTCTCATCTTCTCGCTTGTACTCCTACCAAGCTTGAAGGCACAGTTCACGATAATTTAGGGTAATCCAGATTATGACGGAAAATGGAAGGTAAAATGGAAAATATGCGATGAATGCGAAGGAACTGCGTGAATAGGAATGAATGGAAGGCCTCGAAAAATCGCTTAAAAGGAGGCTGTACGGGAATGAGGCCAGAAGAATGAAGAAGAGTGGGGCGTTTGGACGAGCTACATAATGTGGGTCATTGCGTGCGTGTTTTGGTGCAGATAACTGACTACAGTAAGCAAGAATTCGTTCACTTATAAGCATAAGTAAACAAAAAAAAACCCTAGGGACAGCAAAAATAGCTCACCTTTTTTCAGCCTCTTGGGGTAGGACATTAAATAAGGGATCGCGGCAGCAAAAGGAAGACATTAATTAAGGGACCGCGGCAGCAAAAAGAATAACAGAGGAAAAAAGAATGGGAGAAAAACATCGCCTCAACACTTGGCGATCAGCTGATTGTTGTGGGTCCTAGAACGAATAATTGCAGTATCGCCTCGACACTCGTCTGATGTGATATCGATCGAGGGGCGGGAAGGCCGCGCGAGCCGGGAACAGGGCTTCTACTATGCCTTAACCGTCGAGTTTTTTGGCGCGGGAGGGTCCTTCTATTACCCTTGGGTGCCACTGAGTATTCCCAAGGGAAGAACTCAGTAACCATTTTTATCGTGAACTGTGCCTTCGAACACACATGACCAAATTGACATTTTTTTGCTTGAGCTCCGCTCCCTGTGGGATTGGCTCTGTCCTGCAGCCTATCAATAGTGTTCCCATTGTTCCGCCTGTACTCCTACCAAATTTGATGCCATGCCACTTTAGGTCCACGGACAGGAGTTATGCATTTCTGGGCGGACAAACACACACACGCAGACACACAGACACACACAACACACAGCACAAAGCCCACACACGCACACACTGTTGTACATACGCCCAGCACACAGTACTCACACAGCCCATATAGCATACACACCCACAAAATGATTGTCAAATCGTAAGAAAACGATTGTCGTTTGTCAGTGATGTATTTCAGCACTGGAACTAGATTCATTTGATGGTCGTCGTGATCCCGAAAGATGTAACGTCCTCGTTAACAAGCTCAGAATTTCTCAGGACAGAGTTCTTCATATTATAGGTAAAACTTTAAACGTTAATTCGTAACCAGTCTAAGGTGATCTTATTAAGGAGAAATGTTGGTGACTGTTTATCCACTAGAGTCGGACCGTGCTTGTCGAGATTTTCGTGTGAAGTTTCCTGATGAGATTGTTCATGACAGCCTTCCTGGGCAGTTATGGTTTGGGGCTGAGGTTAGCCATCCTTTCATTTTATTTCTAAAAGGGGTGATTACACGTTAGTCAAAAAGTAAAATCGGCTCTATTCAAATGAAAGATCTCTGACAGTGTCGAGTTGAAGTACTATGTCCTTCGGTGTCTCCCTAAACTTGCACGATTGTCCGGATTTATTCTAGACATTGGAATTTGTGCTGGAGTTTTCCACAGAACTACAAGAAAAGAATGCTACTCATTTGTATGCGCGTAATATGTCCGAGAATTTCACAATATCATAGTCTGCTGATGAAACGGAGGCTGACCTTAGCATTCCTTTTTTGGTTTTGAGGGCACATTACACCATGAAAATGGTTCCACTGGTTCCCCTTAAGGTGAACCTGTGTCACCCACGGATAGCTCAGGGGACGCTGTCGAGTCATAACACGGCTTAGGTAGGACATACTAATAGCCCCAAAATCGGCTTAGCCGACGTATAAACCCGAGGTGGACGAGTTCTTACGGCATAGAGGCTCTAATGATGGCACCATTTGTACCGAGACCCACAGTTGCACGCAAGCAGCTTACCGTAGCCAGTACTCACAATGGCGATTGAAAAGCTCGTCCAACTACTTCTATACAACTTTTGTCGTCACATTTTCGTGCAACCCCTTGTTATGCCACTTTTTTGAAGCCTTATGTTTCTTGAAATTCACAGACTTTCACGTTTCCTTCCCCAAGTTGCGCTATTCCAAACTATCACGCAAATTATTTGTCAGAAACTAGATACCCTAAAATTATCGTGGACTAAGTCTTTAGCCAGGCGTGCACCGAACACTTCGAAAGGGGTTGGAGCCAGGTATTTCTCGAAGGCTTTTAATGGCTTAAACTGTGGAGTGGCCGAATTTGAACTCGTAATGAAGTACATACGTGTCGACGTGGCTAAGTGAAGCTTCCCCAGGTGGCGGATAGCGGAGTAAATTGCCAATGAAAAGTCGCCAGTATTTGTCCAGAGACGCAGATGAATTCAGATTATGGACTCCCTGATTCTGCTGTGCGCAGGTGTACTCACGTATACGTGTGGAGAGTCTGCGGGTGCAGCTGGTATCCTGCCCATCGGCTCAGCCGAAAGTTCGCATTCGAGTGACTGGGAAGTGTCTGGGAAGCGATTTGGGACCGCCTCCAGAAAGGGTTCCGACGAGGGTTCAGTACAATCGGCTATGTCCTTCTCTTACAAACTCATTTATGTATCGCGAAAGTACAAAATGCCATCATGTCATACGTTAATCGATTTGAAGAAAGCCTTTAACACCGTCGAGGTAGAAGCGGTAATCGGTGCTCTGGGCAACCAGAGTATTCTTACTCAATATCGGGTGGGCGGACACGTTATGCGATACAGTGATGACCGTTGGACCGGGGCGGCTACTGACTGTATCCCTCGGGACATTCAACAACCTCCAGGACGGCCGCAATGCGATGGTCAGACTCTTCACGAGAGCGCTGACGAAAGGAATGCTGAGCCTCGTGTCCCTGAAGCGAGGATGACTCACTGAACTACCCTGGCTCGTGACAGGGACGAATGGAGACGTTACTGGCGCCCGCTCGAAGAATCGATAATCAACGGGACGACGGGTGTTACAGGAGGTGATTTGAAGTGTCAAGTCGCGAATTTTTCAAACTGGGCAATTTTCTGAGCACTTTACCTCGTTCCACAATACTGTTGAATTCTCAATTAGCACGGTGACAAAAAAAGACATCAATGTGGGGTCTTTGGCCTGGGAATATAACTCTTGAGGTAGCCACTTCGAGTTCGAGAATCTTCTTCGGAAAAAAAACTTGGACTTATCAATAGATACCTTTCCACTAATAAGTTTCTTAAGTATAAGACGTTTAATTTTCTTCTTTGTTCATCTCTTTGCAACCCCAGCACTTTTTTTTGTAATGTTACTGTGTGGTTTATTTATATAACCGTCAGGACGCCCGGCTAACGCCGGACTTCCTTCCTTATGATAAAGTTGTGATAATGGGCAGACGGCACGCTCCTTCTTTGGAACAAATGATACTTTTCGGAACACGAAATTTGATAATGGGGCAGAAGAGCATGCAAACGTTATTCAAGATGTGCTGATGCCCAAGTCTTTGATTAGAAGTCTCGATCTGTCGCTGTTCATCTTAAAAACAATGACCCAATAAAGGGTTAACTGATAGACACCCGAAGCCTTGAATGGTACTCACAAATGTTGTCGAGTCATAATAATACCATTACCAAAAGTGTTTATGAATGTAGCTCCTCTTCTCCATTAACGCATCATTAAATTAAAATCCAACATTATTAGCGCTTGGATAAGTTTTGCCATGAATGATATTAAAGCAGAGAAAAACCGTGATACTTCATTGAATCGCAAACTTCGCTGAATAGCGGACGTATGTAAGAAGTGAACCAAACACCAGCTCCTTATAATCGGTCCCTATCACTGCACTTACCCTTCTTGTTGAATGAAACATATCAAAGAATCAAAGCTAGATCGTAATTAACAAAGTCGCTAGGATTTAATTGGTGATTGGATCTTGTTCTCTAAGGCCGCTTCTGTCGTCAGTGTTCCCATCCTACCCCCTCTACTCCAAGGTTTTGCTCTCCAAGTCCACGGGATCAGGAGTTATGGATTCTCGCTCAGACATTTATTTCGCGGAAACCCCGCCCCTGTCAGCGGAGCCCGGCCCTCCCACCTACCATGAGTGTTCCCATCCTGCCGCCTATACTCTTGTCAAGTTTGAACGCCCTGGGCTAAAATGACAACTTTGGCGCAAAACCCGCTCCCTGTGGACGCGGTCCGGTCCTGCCCCCGCCATAAATATTTTTATCCAGCCTCCAATAATACTGCTAAATTTAAACGCTCTAGGTCCACTGAGACAGGAGTTATGAATTTACGTGCAAATAGACAGAGAGACAAGCGGACGGACATGCAGACAGACGCGAGCGCCTTATATATAGTAAGGGTTGTAACCATGGACTCTAACTGGTAAGTCATAGTTCCTAGTGAGATCATTTTGCATTTCCTCGAAAGCCTCCACAAGGGTTTTTTCTACCGATAATAGATGACAGTTCAATATCCGAAATGGGGCGGATGTAGGTCTTGAATGCAAGAAGACATCTTGGACATCCTTGCATCTAAACGCTCTAGGTGAGTTTGAGTTAGTTTTTTTTTTCGTAGAATTGCTGACAGTCCTTACTATATATAAAGCACTCGTGTCTATCTGTTTGTCTGTTTATTTGCCTGTTTGTTTATTTGTTCGTACGGAGATTCGATATTGCCTGAAGGAGCACCTGCAGAAGTCGGGTCAAGTACGGTTGCCATAGGATAAGACCAAGAGGACACATGTGAGCTCAACGAGGCTCCTCCCCCAGAGGCAGGGCATGCACGGCAGTGGCGGTGTCTTGAGGAAAACGTCTGAATTAGGTTTTATGACAGCCCAGACGCCGGGAAAAGAAATGAGTGAAGGTGAGTGAAGGGCCAACAAGGAACTGAAGGAGACGCACAGCGATGGGCGGAGTGTTCAGTGGACGGTACTTAACACATAAGATCATAACTCGATTCCT